ATTAATATTTGTCTATCTATAATACTAAGTATATTTTTTTGTAAACTAACGTAATTTTTGGGAATAAAAATTTAACAGGATTGTCACTCCCATAAAACAGCTAAACTCTTCCGTATATGTAACTGGATTAAACACAAACTGGCAGCTGTATTTAGCTGCAGTGTGTGTGCTGTGTGAATAAAATTGCGTCACTATATTCTCACATGACATAGTGTCCAGTCACATAAGCTATAACACAGAGTCACGCTAAGTCTCTTTTACATGCGTCATCCTGAGAAACAATTACCGTCAGTGCTTAAAAGACAATGGTATTTGTCCAAGGAAGTGCATTGCACATATGGGGTAATGGGACAACAGGACTGTGCATAAGAGAACAGGATGGTGAAGAGAGAGATTTTATTCAAACTGTTTTGTACAGTTTAGATAGTAGAGTATGTTGTTTACTTTTTTTGTGTGTGCATAGAGTGACATATTGTAATGCTTGGTATTTTTGTGACATTTACACAAAACTTAATTTTCTTAAGCACAGTATCACAGGATCTAGGCTTTTTGTTTGCTCCCACAATGTGAAAAACATTAGGCATTGCTACTGTGTTCCAGTCCCACAATTTAATGAACAATTTCCCATGAATTATTCCATTGGAATTACTAATTTCTCTCTCCAAATCCTCATGTGTGTCTTTCCCCCAGTCTTTTTGTGGGCTGCTTTAAAATGGAATTTTCTCCCCTGTTCTTCATTTCTAATCCTTATTAGCATCCTTTACTGTGGTCGATGTTTCTAAAGTGGAGAAACCCCATTAGACCAGTATTTTACTTATTCATTTTATTCGTAATTTTTGGGGGCATTTTTTTGTCTTTTATTTATACATCAGAGAGCAGACAGAAAAGTGGGTGTGTGCATGTGAGGAAATTATTCTTGTATATCCTGAACATGTGCACAGCTGCCTCATTTTTAACCTGTCGTAGTGCACTTGCTGTAATCTTATGTATCCGGACATTTGACCTATTGGCGAAAATTCTGAAACACGTTACAGCTTTTTCTAGCTAAGAACTAACCACTTTCAAAGGAAGGATCATATCCATCATATACAGTGCATAAGAATGTCAAATATAATTGTGTATATAGATTTGATGCTTGCAAACTTCAAGTCCAGCAACTACACTGAAAAAAAGGTGTAGGATTTCTCTCAGAAATTGCTAGTAAATTTTACAATTACAAAGAAACTGCAAGTAACATTTTGAAGTAGAAAGACTGAAATAAATTTTCTAGTCAAATGCACTCCATTAATCTTTTACAAATTACAGTGTACTTCCTCCTTGAAAGGGCTCAGAACACAGGAGTATGACACAACTTAATTTCCTTTATCTAATACTGTAACCTCATAGGGTTTCTGTTGAGCATTACACACTGCACACACACATACCTCCACCAAAGGAGAGTGTATATCTGTCATATCTATATTCCAAGTCACTCACGTAGACAGCATTCATATTTTCATCCTGTTGTGTAACCCGTCCTGGGCTCTTAGGCTTCTAGATGACATAAACACTCTCATTCTCAGACTTTGCCATTTTGAGCTGATGCACAAGGGATATGTGTGTCTGTTTTCATCTCTCAGGCCTGTGCTCTCTCAGGTGTGTGTGTGTTGTCATGGTGATGAATGCCTGGCCCAGCTGGCGTGAACAGGGGCCTTTGGCGATGCCACTGTGATGGACGAGGGCCACCAGAACAGTGGCGTTACCGCTGTGCCAGTCATAACCTTGAGCTCAACACACACGCACTCTCTGACTGCTGGTGAGACCTCCTCAGAGACATCAGATGCCAGAGGTTTTTGGCAAGCTTTTGACTGCTTTAGCACCATACTGCTCCGTTCTGTTTGACATTCAATTTTATGTCATTTAAATATCTCTTAATGGTCACACCTGCGTATATTAGCACACAGACACTGACAATCGGACGTAATTACTCTCACGCTCCTACTGCAGTAGATGTATGGATCATTCTCAGGAAACTGTGCTGTTTAAGATAAATGCAATTATTTTATTTAATTATGCGTGTCTGTGTATATATACAAAAGGCTGATGATGCACAGGGCAACTTTTTGAGCAGTTTTGCTGGGCAACTTTTTTGAGCAGTGTTGCTTGGGCACTTTCCTATTGAGAATGGGTAACAAATTTCTATCTGGATATTTTAGATCAGTCGTGGGCCCTGTGTCTCACCTAGTTGCCCGTTGACGGCAACGTTGCTCAAAAAGTTGCCCCGTGTATCATCAGCATAACTGTTCAAAAGATTGGGGTCAGTATTTTTTTAAACTAATGAATGCTTTAATACAGCAAGGATGCTTTAAATGGATCAAAAGTGACTTTTATATTGTTCTGAAAGTCTGTTTCAAATAAATACTGTTCTTTTGAATTTTCTATTTATCGTGAAAAAAATGTATCACGGTTTCCACAAAAAATATTAAGCAAGACAACTGATTTGAAACATTGTATAAAAAAAAAAAAAAGAAATGGTTCTTAAATGCCATATCAGCATATTAAAATGATTTATGAAAGATGTGACACTAAAGACTGGAGTAATAATGTTGAAAATGCAGCTTTGCCATCACAAGAATAAATTACTTTTTCAAATGTTAAAGTAGAAAATAGTTATTTTAAATGTAATGATATTTCACAATAAAAGGCAGCCTTGGTGAGCCTAAGAGACACATATATAAAAATAATATATATATATATATATTTTTTTTCCCCCAGTGTTTTTATAGCCTTTTAAATTGGCAATAGTAACTTCTTGTTAAGTAAAGTTTGGTTGAATTCTGCCTTTTTTATTGTTTATTGCTTATTGTAAATGTAATGGTTATAAAAGGAGTGATGTAAGTTGAATAATATTCCAATGAAAAAGTAAAAAGTATTTTAATATATTTATTAATATTATTCATTTTGATGTATTATTCATCTTAGATCTTAAAAAAAGTTCACTATGCTGTTAATTATATCAGTAACAAGTCACGGGGACAAACATACTACACAAATGGTGCTGTTTCCTAAAAGTGTTTTTGAGATATGGTGAATCATATAAAAGTGTGTTACTCTAGCATTGATGTCTGGGTGGCTCAGAAAATAAAGAAGAGTGACGGGATGACAGTGGCAGTGTTTCTTTTTGTCTTTTGATGGCTTGCTATTCCCTTAAAAAATGGCTGTCTAAGCAGATTCCCTCTTTCCCTTATGCTAGACACAAAGAGACACACACAAACACACTTCAAAGAACTCTATGGAGTACAGTTGGACAGGGACAATGACAGGAGTTTGGTACGGCTTTCTGGATAGAGAGACACAGAGGAGAGGCTTTCAGGTTTGTTTTTGTCAACTGCAGTGTGCTGGGCGGCCTCTTGCTCAAAGAGCCTGTAATGGACTGGAATACATCAACTTTTTTTCAAACCTGCAAGACGTTCGTTCTTCTGTGGATGACAAAAGAAGGTGTTTTGAAAATGCCAGTGGTTTTTCTGTACATTCAGTGTTCAGTGTTATTTTAAACCCCGATGACATTCATTTAAACATTTGAAACCTTCTTCAAAGTATCACATCTTGTCTTCCACAGAAGAATGTCATACAGATTTGGAATGACATAAATTTTTGGGTGAACCATCATAGGATGCCACATAAAGAAATGTCTTCCTGAGTCTGCTGTAATACTTTTGGACCTATAGTTTACTTTTACCAACACATTTACTCTCTGGGCTCTGGGTGAATGAAGTATTTGTAGTGAAGGATTATGTTCTACAAATTGGTTTTGAATTTTTAGGGCTTGTCTGATTTCATAGCGATTCACTGGAGCCTCAGCGTGTGATCCGTGGTGCAGTGTAATTACGTTATAATGACCTCTCCTTTATCAAAGTGTATCACGCGCTGCTCACCTCCCATAGGAACATCATCCTTCCTTCCCTTTCATGTCTTCCTCATCTCTCCTCTTTTCTCATTGCATTCCTAGTTGGCTAATAAAAGATTCATTTCCAGTTCATTAATGAAGGCAGATGGCTGGATTAAAGAAAGCCTGTTAAAGAGTGGAATTTTCACCCTCCGTTAGAGCAAAGGTCAAATCTGAGGTTCTGTTTGAGCAGTTTTTTGAATAATCACCTGCTAATGCTAATCTGCTAATGTGGTATAGTGAGACTACCAGAGTCAAATGTCTTATTAGTATTTACCTTTCATTGCTTGAGATGTTTGCCCTCAACAGAGGTCAGGGAAAATCACGAAAATTTATATAAAAAAGCTTGATGTACTATGGAGAAATACTCGTGTTCACAATGCAGAGCTTCCCAGTCAGTCCGCCAAGACCTTTTATGGAAATTTAAGCTGCAAATATAGGTCATTCATGATTAATTTTGTTGTCATGAATACATTAACATATGTTTATGTGTTATATGTGCTCATGATTACATTGAAGGCTATTTAGTGTTTAGAAATTTGGCTGTGATGTTGATCCTTGTTTCACGTGCAAAGAGTTTAGCCAATCATAACAGACAGAGATCATTTAAATATGTCATAAAGATACGGTAGCAGAACTGTTTCTTAAAGCTGTTCTACAAGATTTATTTCCAAGGGCTTTTGGTGCAAGAAGCCATTACTTTATCTCTGGACTTCAGGGGAAAGGATGTGAGAATATGTCCACTCTAAGGTCTCTTTGGAAAAGCTGTAGTGCTTTATTTTGGTGTTAAGATGATAAAGTGTCTGTGTTTGTAACTTTTTCAGGTAGCGGGCATATCTACGGTAAGCTATTACTCACAACTTCAAGGCTTGTATAGAATTACTATACGAGTTGCTTGAGTATGGTGTTTAAAACTATAGCTGGCGTACAGTAAGCTGTAACTGATTTCGGTATGGTTTAACCCACGGTGTCTGGTTGCTGGTTGTAGGTGTAAAATAACGCTGGCAGCTTCTCAAGTGTTTGCTTGTACCCGTGTTTGTGTGTAACACCCTGTGTGTGTTTGTGTGTGTTTCAGGTGTAAAGATGAGGAAGTTTGCGTACTGTAAGGTGGTGCTGGCCACCTCTCTGGTGTGGGTGATGGTAGACATGTTCATCCTCCTCTACTTCAGCGAATGCAACAAATGTGATGACAAAAAAGAGAGAGGATTGCCAGGGAGAGACAGTGAGTACACGCATGCACACAGTTTTGCTGTATAACATAGTTATCCTGTAGTTTGTAATAATAAATCTGTCCTAGCACTTCTATTTATTTCTGTTTTAGACACATTTTGTGATTTTTACTTTTGAAATGTTTTCCTGATGAAGACTATTTCCATTGGATGTGTGTGTCTGATGGTGTTATATTGTGAAATATGGGCAGGTATTGAACTGTCTATTTCTGTGAGAGAAGTAAAGAGTGTAGAAATATAATCTCTCATAGTTTTAGAGCTGTATTGACTCTACATCATCTGAAGGATACAACCACATTCCAGCTGTGCAGCTTATATTAGAGGAAGAATAGAGAAATCTAGAGCAATATATAATTTTAAGGACATTTTTAGTTTACCTTTATATGTTAAACAGTTTTAGTACTGTGATTAGTCTTAATGTAAAGGTAAAATATGAATCTAAAAGCAAAACCAGTTGAGAACTGCTGCTTTAGAGACTATAAAACGGAGCAGAAAGAAGATCTTGGATCTTGGAAGGAACAGCCATAGGGAAAAAGTATCACAAGTGGATGGTGATGCAGTGTGAAAGCATATTTTTCACAAAGATTTCTTTGTCACTAACTGATCTCTCTATCCCCCTGATCAGGTCACTTTGGTTTGGTCACTGGAGAGCTGCTTTACTTTGGCCATGAGATATAGAACAGTAACCCTAAAATAATCTGCTCACCATATTAATAAAGCACATTTTCTGCTGCTTGTGCTTGTGTCCTTAGCGATGATTATATGATTTTTACCCCCAGAATCCTTGAGGAAAGTCATTGGATTTTGCTGAGCAGGGAAACAGAACAATGTTGCCTTGTAATGCGCTCAGTCCGAACAGCTAAATCCTGCCCACTCAACATGCATGCGGCTCACCCGTACATACACACAGCGTACGCAAGTGCGTGGCACAAGGCTTAAAAACAGGCAGTTTGCCTCTTAGAGCAGATGTAATCTCTCACACTGTTGCAAATCTGACCTTAATCTCACCAAAGCATGCTTTTTGAGTTATTAATGATCAAAGCTCAGTGCTTATCTACTCTCACAAAATCCACAAAACTACACTTCACACACACATGGCACAATCAACAATTGTGCACAGACATCTAGGCCACAAATTCTTTTTGGTGGGCAGGATCTATATAAACGTTTTTGTTATTTCACACATTTGTGGTGGCATTTTCACCATTCTGAACAATTTTAGAGCTTTTTTGCCAAGGAGATCGCAGTGTCACTGAAGAGCATGACTGGGATGAATATGAAATGTGATATGTAAAAATATACAGAATATTTTTATTGTGCCTCTTCCAATTTTGTAAAAAGTATGACAGTATTATTTTATTGTGTGTATTTATGTTACATAAAATGTGAGCTGTGTAAACTAGCCTTAAAAAGAATTCATTCTCGTCACAGAATACATCATTTGAGATGTGGTGGAAATGCTACTGTTGTGTTGTGGTTTTTCATTTAAAAATGGCAAACATAACAGGATTCTCTTGTGATGTGTGTATATCCACTTTTGGACAGATTAAATAAACTATTGAGAGAATGATGGGTTTATTTTCTAAAAGTCCACAGGGCCCAAAGTGGCCATAGTTGGAGAAACGCCCATATGGACTCAATCAAAAGCCAAGGGAACAATCTTGACTCCATGTGTGTTTGTGTTCCAGCTGTGGTTCAAAGGCCTCATGACGGCCCAGGGGAGATGGGAAAGCCAGTGGTCATCGCTAAAGACCAACAGGAGAGGATGAAGGAAATGTTTAAGGTTAACCAGTTTAACCTGATGGCCAGTGAGATGATTGCACTCAACCGATCTTTACCGGATGTGCGTCTCGAGGGGTGAGTGTCTGCTTATTTATGATCGCTTCCTTTAAAGTGAGTTTGTTTTTGTTTAATAGATACATTTTATGCCTGTAACTGCCAAAATGAACATTTTGGAATGGAAGTTATGTTATGAACTGTGAGGGTTGGTGTTTGGCTGTTTGACTTTAGAGTAACTGACAGTCGTATCGCGGCGTGTGTGTGTGCTTTTTGAAATGTAAACATTGATCCGTGAAATGCATTTATTTTCTGCCCCTCAGATTAATTACCGAAGATGTATTTTTTCTCAGCTGTGTTTGAAGCAAACCAATAGAATCAACATTTTCAATTAAAAGATAAGAGTGTGTCAATTACAGAGTCACAGTCATGACCTGACTTCACACACACACATACACATCGTCAGACTCACAACTATCACCTTCACAAGAATGTGATCTTCTAACTCTTATAACTAAGAACATATGTTACTTGTAAATGCACAAACTTGTTAAACCAAAGAGTTAAGGGGGAACTGGTTGAAATCTGAGTAAGAATGAAAGAGCTGAACTCTTCATCTTAAAGCAGGATGTGGTCTGCTCTCTTTTCAGCTGTTTTCCATCTTTGGTTTTGTAAATGTGAAGATTAAACAGCGTTTGGTCACACTGTACTAACGTACACTAGCAGTCAAACATTTGGACACACCTATTTGTTCTATGTTATTAGCGTTTTTCACATTGTAGCACAATCTATCTATCTCTGCGTGTGTGTGTGTGTGTGTATGTGTATTATTTAGTTTTGTCAAGAAATTCATGCATAGGCTGACATAACTTACGGTATATTAGTCTAAAAACTATTTTCAATGAAAAGCTTTTAGATCAAAAAGTATTTAAGATAATGAGAAACACATTCAGGCAGTCAGGTGTGTCATTCTGACCACAAACTGTCAACTCAGACAGGACGTGACCTTCTGTTCGACACATAAGCAACATTACTTTTACATGCAGTTTGTCTGGGTTTTTTTTGTAAAATGCCAGAGTTTGTATTGTTTGTTGTTTTGCAGAGTTATGCGATGAGAATTTCTGCCCATCCAAATGTGATTAAATACACATAATGATGCTAAAGTGTTCAAAAGTTTGGGGTCAGTAAGATTCTATATTACTTTAAATAAATTTATATTTTTATTCAACAAGGATGCAATAAATTGATCGAGAGAGAGAGAGAGAGAGAGAGAGAGAGAGAGAGAGAGAGAGTAACTCCATTTATAATGTTACAAAAGATTTCTATTTCAAATTACTTTCTATGAAAACCTTAACTACTTTTTAAAATCTATTATTTTTAATTGTAATTAATTATATTTTACAATGTTACTATATTTTCTGTATTTTTGATCAAATTAATGCAGCCTTAATGAGCATAAGAGACTTTCAGAAACATTAAAAAAATCTCACCGACCCCTAACTTTTGAATGGTAGTGTACAAATATGTAATTAATCATAGTAATATGTGCAACAAGATCACTGGAATTAAAAAGTATGACAGAACATTTCAATAAAATGAAATATTTAATATGGTAGTACGTTTTCACTGAGCCTTGTTGCGAAGACATGTCCAAACTCAGTTACATTAACATAAGACACTGGACTGTGAATTACGTAGTGTATGATGAATTGTTTGATATGTCGCAATCATCCACCCTAAGTGTTATTTAAACACCTATTATCCTGTAAGCATCTTCAACGTCAAATATTAACTGCTAATATTTGTGTTGTAGAGGTCAGATTACTGTGTGTGGACTGTGAGTGTGGGTGTATTTTTCACACTACGTAATGTACCTTCTATTTCTGTTACACTTTGCAGCAGTAAGTTCACTGAGGTGAGACAGAGAAAAGGAAAGATGTGTAGAGAAGATGTCACATTCGTCCTTGAGAAAGCAAAGAAAAAGACGTTTGTGTGCGTGCGTATTTGTGACGCTTCTTTTGTTCTGTGTGATATTGCTCCAAACAGTTCCCCCTCCGTTCCCACTGCACTAAATAATGTGAAGTTTGTCCCTCTGCAGTGGACACACACGCTTTCAAAAGGCCTTGCCTTAAATATTTACGGTTTTAATAAGTCCCTGGATGCTCTCTCTTTCAAGGCACGACCATGGAAACTATTCCACCATGTCAATAATGTCACCCGAGGTCTCGGAGCCAAGTAAAGCAGAAGCACGTCTGTGAGGCAGACGCAGTATTCACACACTCGCATACAGCTGCACGTCAAGCATTACGTCAAGTGTGTTTAATGAACTAAATCGTTTGCATATGCATCCCGGCAGTGCTATATATATTTGGATGCAACAATACAGTTAGCCAATGTTTCAATTCATACCTCAGTTTTTTAACCACAAATTTCGGTTCAGTTCTGATGGCTTGGCAGTAGGGCTGTGCAATATATCGAAATTATCGAAATATCGCAAATGTACATATCGCAATATGCATATCGCTACAGCTTGCCATATTTGGGACCATGAACAAAAGACAAAGAGAAAATCACTCACTGCTAGGGATGTAACGATTAACCGCGAGCCGGTTGAAAATCGATTCAAATATGTGACGTTTCAAATCGGTTGAGATGCTAAACAAATCGCGATTCAATTAGGTGTAGGAGTTTATAAGAATCCATGTCTGAGGGGAACTTACTGTCTTTAGAAAAGTTATTGTATGGTATTTTTTCTTTTCATCTTGCCTCTGTATAATGCATATTAAAGTTCATAAGTGCAGCGCTGCTTTGTTTACAGCGGAAACCAAGGAAACGCTTTAAGCGCCACCTGCTGGCAGAGAGTGAATCTGCGTCTCATTCAGCTTAGCTTTCATGCAGATATTTTTATGTATAGTTTCACAAAACTGAAGTCAAACCATTCTGTTTTTGCTTCAAATTTCGAAATTATACAATCCAATTTAGATTAAACACTGCTCATGATTCAAATGCAGTGGTTGCCTCTCATTTTAAATGGAAGAGCACAGACAAAGCCTTAGTTTGTTTATATGAAGAGATTTATTTGATTTGGTGCTTGTTTTAAAATTTCAATTTAGTTTTGTTATTTACATTTACATTATATTTAAATTTTGTCATTTAGCAGATGCTTTTGTCCAAAGTGACTTACAAATGAGGACAATAGAAGCAATCAAAACCAACAAAAGAGCAATAATAATCAAGTGCTATATTAGTATATTATTATAGTGTTATATTTCAATTTCACAAAGAAACGTGCAGCATTTTGTCCAAGCAATAATAAAAGGACACATTTAATTTATAATTTGTCTTAAATTTCATTTTGTAAAAAAAATAAAATAATAATCGTGAATCGAATCGAATCGTAAAATCAAAATCATGAATCGAATTGTGAGTTGAGTGAATCATTACATCCCTACTCACTGCTCTTACCTAAATAACTTTTGTAGCTTAAATAAGAATCAGTGCATATTGAATTCAAAGAGTAAATACTACGCAGTGTTTTATTTTTCCTTTTTATTATTCAGTTCCTAAACTCATGTTAAAATGATTACACAAATGTTAAAATTACATTTTTATGTAATGATCGAGTAAAACACTACCGTTCACTTTCAGAAGTTGTTGTAGGGGTGCTTTCTTATTAGAATCAGAATCAGAATGAGCTTTATTCAAACACAAACACAAGGAATTTGTTGTGGTTTTACAGAAACTCTTGGTACATACATACATACAAATAACCATATATATATATACAGTGGGGAAAAAAAGTATTTAGTCAGCCACCAATTGTGCAAGTTCTCCCACTTAAAAAGATGAGAGAGGCCTGTAATTTTCATCATAGGTATACCTCAACTATGAGAGACAAAATGAGAAAAAAAATTCCAGAAAATCACATTGTAGGATTTTTAAAGAATTTATTTGCAAATTATGGTGGAAAATAAGTATTTGGTCAATAACAAAATTTAATCTCAATACTTTGTTATATACCCTTTGTTGGCAATGACAGAGGTCAAACGTTTTCTGTAAGTCTTCACAAGGTTTTCACACACTGTTGCTGGTATTTTGGCCCATTCCTCCATGCAGATCTACTCTAGAGCAGTAATGTTTTGGGGCTGTCACTGGGCAACACGGATTTTCAACTCCCGCCAAAGATTTTCTATGGGGTTGAGATCGGGAGACGGGCTAGGCCACTCCAGGACCTTGAAATGCTTCTTACGAAGCCACTCCTTCGTTGCCCGGGCGGTGTGTTTGGGATCATTGTCATGCTGAAAGACCCAGCCACGTTTCATCTTCAATGCCCTTGCTGATGGAAGGAGGTTTTCACTCAAAATCTCACGATACATGGCCCCATTCATTCTTTCGTTTACACAGATCAGTCGTCCTGGTCCCTTTGCAGAAAAACAGCCCCAAAGCATGATATTTCCACCCCCATGCTTCACAGTAGGTATGGTGTTCTTTGGATGCAACTCAGCATTCTTTCTCCTCCAAACACGACAAGTTGAGTTTTTACCAAAAAGTTATATTTTGGTTTCATCTGACCATATGACATTCTCCCAATCCTCTTCTGGATCATCCAAATGCTCTCTAGCAAACTTCAGACAGGCCTGGACATGTACTGGCTTAAGCAGGGGGACACGTCTGGCACTGCAGGATTTGAGTCCCTGGCGGCGCCCATTCTGTTTTTGCTTCAAATTTCGAAATTATACAATCCAATTTAGATTAAACACTGCTCATGATTCAAATGCAGTGGTTGCCTCTCATTTTAAATGGAAGAGCACAGACAAAGCCTTAGTTTGTTTATATGAAGAGATTTATTTGATTTGGTGCTTGTTTTAAAATTTCAATTTAGTTTTGTTATTTACATTTACATTATATTTAAATTTTGTCATTTAGCAGATGCTTTTGTCCAAAGTGACTTACAAATGAGGACAATAGAAGCAATCAAAACCAACAAAAGAGCAATAATAATCAAGTGCTATATTAGTATATTATTATAGTGTTATATTTCAATTTCACAAAGAAACGTGCAGCATTTTGTCCAAGCAATA